GCTGGCGTTTTTGTCAATGGTATCATGCACGTGAAGGTTCAGCAAAGCTTCGTGTTTCCCCATATATTTTGGCCATCTGGTTTGACATCAACCTCAGACTTTAAAAGTGAAACCCAATAAGCCAAAACCTTCCGAACCATCAACAGCTGGCGTTTTTGTCAATGGTATCATGCACGTGAAGGTTCAGCAAAGCTTCGTGTTTCCCCATAGATTTTGGCCATCTGGTTTGACATCAACCTCAGACTTTAAAAGTGAAACCCAATAAGCCAAAACCTTCCGAACCATCAACAGCTGGCGTTATCATGCACGTGAAGGTTCAGCAAAGCTTCGTGTTTCCCCATATATTTTGGCCATCTGGTTTGACATCAAAGACAGCCGTTCCATATTATGCGCCTTTATAACCCTGATATTAGGTTTAATATCTTAGCATCATATGATTCTTGGTAACCATAAAGTTAGGTTTGAACAACATACATGATGGTGAACCATTACGATCATACCCCTAGCATGATGATGAACATATGTAACCTCGAGGTTAGGTTTGAACAATATGGAGAATGATCATAGGTTTAAACTTTAGCATGATGGAGAACCTTGACAGCAATGAGGCTTAGCCTTTTATAGCCTTAGGGTATATTTGAACAACAATATTGACAACTACGAGGTTTGGTTTGAACCCTTAACATGAAGGTTGGTGAAGTTGCCCGAGGTTGGATCTTGAGGATATTGAATACAAAATATTCAAAAACAGAAACGTGTTTTTGATGGTGCTAATTAACCGAAAGGCTACTGAATCAGTTTTATTACAAACATTTTACCCTCTTGTCTCGGGGGAGTGTAATTAACAGTTTATCGTGTAATATTGTACAAGGGGGACTAAAGGTTTCTAACACAAAATCAAAAGTTATTACAAGAGAATTTGACATATACGTACCTTCTACCTGGAAGAAGGTAACACTTCACAAAAGGGTCAGAGAGCCCATGATCGTCTCTTGAACTTCCTAAGTTTCGTGCTTTAACAATGGTAACATAGAGGATGGCTGCCTTCGAATCAAAACACACTTGAACCTAAAGAGTACACAACAAACTGTTCTACATATCAATCAAAACACACCTGAACCTAAAGAGTACACAACAAACTGTTGTACATATCAATCAAAACACACCTGAACCTGAAGAGTACACAACAAACTGTTCTACATATCAAGTTGTGTACTCTTTAGGTTCAGGTGTGTTTTGATTGATATGTACAACTGTTTGTTGTGTACTCTTTAGGTTCAGGTGTGTTTTGATTGTGTTTGTTGTGTACTCTTGTTGTGTACTCTTCAGGTTCAGGTGTGTTTTGATTGATATGTACAACGTATATACAAGAGTCAGTAGGGGTTTATTGTGTTTGTAGAAGAGTCAATAGGAGTTTATTGTGTTTATAGAAGAGTCAATAGGAGTTTATTTTGTTTAGAGAAGAGTCAATAGGGTTTATTGCGCGTATATACAAGAGTCAGTAGGGGTTTATTGTGTTTGTAGAAGAGTCAATAGGGTGTATTGCGGGTATATACAAGAGTCAGTAGGGGTTTATTGTGTTTGTAGAAGAGTCAATAGGAGTTTATTTTGTTTAGAGAAGAGTCAATAGGGTTTATTGCGCGTATATACAAGAGTCAGTAGCGATTTATAGAAGTGTCTATAGGGGTTTATTGAAACGAAACAGAAAACAAGGACATATAAAATATTTTATGAAATAAAATAATATATTTGTACTAAATCTTTCATTTACCAATCAAAAGCTTTGTTTTGTAACGCCTAACTTATGCCTTCAAAACCTAATTTCCTTTTGAATACCTCTCCCTCCCCCCACCCACCCCCGGCGGCTGAGCTGAACCTTGAGGGAGCTTATAATGTTGGAATTTTTGGTTCGATTCCTGCAATTGACATAACGTGCATAACTCATTGTGTAGCTTTGTACTTAACAGCACACAAAACCTTATGAATTATGCCATCTTTGTTAACTTCTCACAGAAGTACAACTATATAGATATACAAAAACAAGACATCTCGGAGTTTGAATAGTTTAGGTTATTATTAAACTTCTCACAATTTATTAACGTCACTAGGAACTTTCTTCTTTTTTCAGGCTAAGTTTGAAACTCAACACGTAAGCGGTGAAATCAAAGTAAGTAAGTTTAAATCCAAGCTTGTCTTACTTTAATTGTAGTTTAGTGTTAGTTTTATACAAATTCTACATCCCTGGTTCCATTAAATAATTTAGTTATTGTTTAAATCACGAAAGTATTCGACTCGGATACAAACTTTGAGAATTGTTATTATCATCTAATTATAAAGTAGCTCAACACATGAGAAATATTGAAAGTTAAGGAGAAAATTAATAGTTTCCAAAACAACAACTCCAAAAGTATTTAAAAAATATGATGTATAAACTGGTGGTTTTAAAAGTAAAGATTAAAATATTAGGGTTTCGTGACGTGATAGTGTAGCCAAATTTGGGAAATAAAAATTACAATAATTTATGTTTTGTTAAATTAAAATATTGGAAAAAGTTTGTCGTGCACTTGTTAGGTTCAGGTGTGCTTCAATTCAGATTTAAATTAATTTTATTGTGCACTTGTTAGGTTCAGGTGTGCTTCAATTCAGATTTAAACTAATTTTATTGTGCAATCTTTAGATTCAGGTGTGTTTCCATTCAGATTTAAACTAATTTTATTGTGTAATCTTTAGATTCAGGTGTGTTTCAATTCAGATTTAAACTAATTTTATTGTGTAATCTTTAAATTCAGGTGTGTTTCAATTCAGATTTAAACTAATTTTATTGCGTAATCTTTGGATTCAGGTGTGTTTTGATTGATATATACCAAAATTTGTTGTGTACTCTCCAGGTTCAAGTGTTTTGATTGATATGTACAACTGTTTGTTGTGTACTCTTTAGGTTCAAGTGTGTTTTGATTGATATATACCAAAATTTGTTGTGTAATCTTTAGGTTCAAGTGTGTTTTGATTGATATGTACAACTGTTTGTTGTGTACTCTTTAGGTTCAGGTGTGTTTTGATTGATATGTACAACTGTTTGTTGTGTACTATTTAGGTTCAGGTGTGTTTTGATTGATATGTACAACAGTTTGTTGTGTACTCTCCAGGTTCAAGTGTGTTTTGATTGATATGTACAACAGTTTGAGTGGAGTTGATAAACACAGCCTGACCAATGAAAATACTTTACAATTTTTAATGAACTACATGATTTGTCTGTTTGTTCACGAGGGCTAACTGTGCTAGCCGTCCCTAATTTAGCAGTGATAGACTAGAGAGAAGGCAGCTAACTATCACCACCTACCGCCAACTCTTAGGCTACTTTTTTACCAACGAATAGTGGGATTGACACAATATATCGCCCCTACGGCTAAAAGGACGAGTATGTTTGGTGGGACGGGGATTTGAACCCGCTACCCTCAGATTGCAAGTCAAGCGCCCTAACCTGGCCAAACTACATGAAGCAATAGACGGAGCTGAGCGAAAGTTGACATGTGTATGAGAAAAGTACAATTTTGACATTAAGCAGGGAGAGAAAGCGACTGACGGACTAACAGTTAGAAAATATAACGTGACAGCTGTGAATATGGTCTTTGAAAAGAGATAACAAGTGGTCAGTAGGATAACAAATGGTCAGTAGGATAACAAGTGGTCAGTAGGATAACAAGTGGTCAGTAGGATAACAAGTGGTCAGTAGGATAACAAGTGGTCAGTAGGATAACAAATGGTCAGTAGGATAACAAGTGGTCAGTAGGATAACAAATGGTCAGTAGGATAACAAGTGGTCAGTAGGGTAACAAGTGGTCAGTAGGGTAACAAGTGGTCAGTAGGATAACAAATGGTCAGTAGGATAACAAATGGTCAGTAGGATAACAAGTGGTCAGTAGGATAACAAATGGTCAGTAGGATAACAAGTGGTCAGTAGGATAACAAGTGGTCAGTAGGATAACAAATGGTCAGTAGGATAACAAGTGGTCAGTAGGATAACAAGTGGTCAGTAAGATATGAAAGCGAGAGTAAGTGGGAATAAGAATGAAAACTGATCAATAAGATATTTAACAGAAAAGTGAGTGAACAAAAGGAATAAAAAATGATTATTAAGATATGGGAAAAACAAGCAAGAGAAAGATGGAATAGCGAACTTAACAAGAAAAGAAATATATGTGACGACACAAATGTCACACAGCCACTGTTTATAAAATGACTTGAGATAACAAAGTTGAATGTGGAAGCAATCAGAAAGTGTCATTCAAAGGTCGGGAGAGTAATAACTATAAAACAGCCAGAAATATTTCTGTTTAGTTGATGTATCCGATGAAAGTGGACGTCAAACCAAAGGTTAAAGATGAAAAGTAACCTCGAACTATTTACAACAGATCTTCGACTAACTTAATTAACTGAGTTTGATGTTAATGCTAAAAGCTCTGTATGAGTTATATTCCGTTTGTTTCATTAAAAACAATTTGACCTTTGACCGTTTTGACAAGCCATTTTGGTAAAGTGGGTCCACTGCTGAGAAAATATTTTTAGTTTCCGTGTTTCATTATTTTGTTTCATTTGGAACGTGAGAGACAAAAAACGTTTCTTTTTTATATGTTTCGTGCATTATAGTGGACAATGTCAACGTTCACAGAGATGGTGCCATCCACTCATTCGCATCACATGACCCAGAAACAGCCAATCACAGTCGTCTTCCACTGTCTACTTCAACCTATCAAGTCATGTCGGGTTCCCGAGCACCAAAACACGAGTCATCTCGCGACAGCCCTACAGCCGATGAGCGGGTTAGTCACAGAGATGTTTACTTTATTTTCCAAACCTATAAAAGAATAAATTTAGGTAGGAAACTTTGTTTATTTCGGAAAATCGTACAAAGCTACACAATGGCTATCGGCTCGGATTGAACCTAATTTTGAACTGATAGAGTAGAGGGAAGGCAGCTAGTCAACAGTACCTACCACCAACTCTTAACATATTCTAATAACTCTTATAACTCACTCACGGCCCCAAAATTTGTAGCGCGTTGTTGGGGCAACGTGAAGCGAAACGTATACCTTCAAAATCAGAATCCTAACGACTAGGCCACACAGGAGAGAAAAAAAAAAACAACCAGACTAAAAATAAAACAGCAACATAGATCAGAAGTAAAGAAAAGAACGAAACGGTATAGAAGAGTCATTAGGGATTCATTGAGGAGGTTGTTCTATATTACTCCATT